GGGGTGGGAGGGGTGAGTTGTACAGACGTGGAAAACCTGGCCTAAGGTCATCTGATCTTTGGACAGTGCTCTCATTAAGTATAAATCCTACTTTTGAACTTCCTCCAATTCCATGAGAGGTGAAGCCTCCCAACCAAACAAAATAAAAACAACAGTGAAAAGTCTTCTGTGTGGAAGACTTAGACTGGGTTGGTCTTGAAAGGTAAACCCTGAAACAGTAGCTCAAGGAACCACCCAAACCAAAATAAGTTCTACCCTGGTCGGTTTTAAAAGAATGACAAGATTTTTTTTTATTTTTTTTATTTTATGTATTTGTTGAATGACATCTACCCAGTTTATAGAGATGTAAGATATGTCTTTTAAACTACATGAGAGTTCAGCAGACTATACCACACTCCCTGCTCTGTATGTATTGATGAATTTATGAATACAAGCATCAAAACCATTCCTCAGCATTCTCAAAGCCTTCAGATATTAACTTGGTAACCTTTGATCTAAAAATTTTAGACACTAATCAGGTATTGGTCCTTCCCTCACATTAAAAACAAATTAAAAATTATAATAATTTATCCTGACTGGAGATCCATTACATTGCTAAAATCATATGTAGCCTGAGGCCTCACTGGTGACAAGTAGCAATAAATGAGACCTGGATCTGCACTGAATGAGGAGAAGAGGAAGAAATCTTATTTGCCAGTCCATTTGTTAAGCAGCAAAAGTGAGAAATTGGCAGGGACCTTTTATCTTAAAAATATATATTTATACAAATAACTAATGTGGAAAAATAAATTAAATATGGGGTTTCTTAATCTCTAGGTGTTTGACTTTACAGCTTATTATAACTTTGGCAACATAAGATAACTCATTACAATTGTGCTTTCCTTCCTTCAGCTTTCATGCTTCTGAAGCATGACCTTGCACTGATTCATTGCGCTTAACTCATATTCTGAAGAACAGAAGGTCCAAATTTCACTAAGAACCAGAGCAACCAGTGATGACAAACCAATCTCCCTTCAATGCATGCCATAAACAGCATACAAAAAGTCTGACTTGTTATAGATCAACAAAACTGTTACTAAAATAATCTTAAGATGAAAAAAATAGGTGTTCTAGAGCAACAAGAAACAAGCAGAATAGAAGTTTAAAGCATGTTGGTCCACCCTAGAAGCACAAAAGAGCCTGCTGAACAGCAAAAAGATTCAGATTAAGGATAAAGTTTATGGAACAGTTGAGACAGGAGATTTTTACAGTCACGCTACTACAATAAGGACACACTACCTTCTGTCTGCCAACAAGGCTGTAATCTTTCACGCACAAGCACTGAATGTATTGATGACTGCTTGCAGCTGACAGCAATCGGGGGGGCATTGAAAGGAGTAGCATTTTCTTGTTTTGCTTTGGGTTGGGTTTTTGAGAGTTTGAGGGTTTTTTATGACAACGGTCAGATGATAATAAAGTATATAATTTTTTTTAGGAGCTAGCAGACTTCTGCCCAGCCCACTGGCAGCATTGGCAAGGCCTTTTGTCTATCCTTAGCTCGCAAATAATGTAATACAAACGAAGCAAAACCAGCGTGATCCGCCCGCACACCTCAATAGAGCGTGTCTTCCAAAAACAAGTTGTTTCAAGAAGGGGTTAACTTACACTGCCAAAGCTACTCTCTTATTACGGCACTCGAGCCATGTGCATACCCCACGCACCGCGCGGGGAAAGCCGCCCCGCCTCGCACACCTACGCTGGGCTCGGTGCCACGGCAGCTGCCGACACGGACCGCAGCCCTCCCGCAGCCCTCCCGCGCCCCG